CGAAAGCGGTTCATATCGAACTTGTGAGTGATTTAACTACAAATGCTTTTTTGGCCGCTCTTAAAAGAATGTGGAGTCGCCATGGAATTGGAAAGTATATATATTCAGATAATGCGAAAAATTTTGGTGGTGCAAACAACCAACTACAAGAATTGAAGGAATTGTTTTTGTCAAAAAATAATCAAAAATTAATTCAAGATTGCCTTGCTGCGGTAAATATAGAGTGGCGGTTCATTCCACCTCGCTCTCCACACTTTGGCGGGTTATGGGAGTCAGCCGTAAAATCTGTAAAAGGGCACTTAATTAGAACGTTGGGAAATGCATCACTAACGTATGAAGAATTAAACACCGTTCTAGTTCGTATAGAGGCATGTCTAAATTCACGTCCGTTGACGCCTTTGTCTACAGATCCATCAGACTTGAAAGTTCTCACTCCAGCACATTTTCTTATCGGTGGATCACTATTAGACTTACCAGATCCAGACTATACGAAAATAACTCCTGGTCGATTACGCCGTTGGCAACGTGTCACTCAATTTACGCAACAAATTTGGCAAAGATGGCAAAACGAATATTTATCAACATTGCAACATAAGTCAAAATGGTACAAATCAAATGGTTCACGTCCCACAGTTGGATCCATGGTACTTTTGAAGGACGACAATTTGCCTCCACTAGAATGGCGACTTGGGCGTATCTCAAAAGTGTTTCCCGGCAAGGATGGCGTGGTGAGGGTTGCATTAGTCAAGACGAAACAAGGCGAGTTTAAAAGAGCTTGTCGCATTCTATGTCCCCTGCCATTAGACGATGAAGACGGAATACCAAATGATAACATTTTGTAAGAACCATTCATTTTGGCTGTTAAATATTGAGTTATAATAATTCAAAAATAGATTTTTTAATTTTAATAAAATAGTTAAAACAATTGATATTATAATCTCTTATTTCATGTGTTCATATTCTGTATTATTAGGTCGATTTGTACTTGTGTTATTTTCAATTGTTTAAGTTTATGTTATTTATCATGTATTTACAATTTGTATCTTTTAGTTAAATGCTTAGAAATGATTTGCTGTTCTTTATTTATAATTGAAAATTAACTTTCTTTTATATGAAAAATTAATTAACTTAAATTTATGAAGTAAGAGTAACTAGTATCTTAATTAATTTTTAATATTTTCTTCAAAAAAAAAAAAAAACTATGCTATAGATTTTTTAGTTTGTTGTAAACCTTTATAAAAACATTTTTTTATTATAATATAACTGTTTATCAGTAGAGTTATGTTGATTTGTTTAAATAATAAAAAAATTTATTTTTTTGTCTACATTTTCATAAATTGTTGTTGTAATTAAACCTGTTTATTTAAGTTTAAGTATGAATTTTTATATTTCGTTGAAATCTACCTGTAGTTAAAAAAAAAAAAAAAAAAAATTTTTGTTTGAACTTTTATAAATTATTATTGTAATGAAATTTGTTTATCTAACTTTAAATATGTAATTTTATAATTTGTAACTGTATACTTGCAATTGTATTATGTAAAAAAAAATTGTGTTTGTTTGAATTTTTATAAATTATTAGTGTAATTGAATTTATATTATTATATTATTATTTTATTAACATAAAATGGTGGCCGGTATGTCGGCGCCTCATAATAATCTTGTGATAGTGTCCGGTGGTGGTGGTCGGCCTATGTTCATTTGTATTTTTTTTGATAACACCAGTGTACGTTCCACCGCCAAACAGGCGACGCGCTCGTAATAAATAAAATTTTTTTTCAACAATAAATAAGAGCGTTCGATTATTTTAATATTAAAATCCCGCTCTATTCCATTATCAACAGACTGAATTTTATCGTAACGAGATACATTTAGTTTATCGATAATATACTTGTATTATACTACAAGTAACTTCTTGTCGTACAGCTGTGAGGTAGTAGTAGTAATATGAACAAATATTGTATGATAAAGTAGCTTTTAGTAAATAATATTTATAATTTTAAATTATTTTATTTTAAAATATGTCTTATATAAATTGCTGTATTTGTAAAAAAATGTGAAGTGACTTTGTCAAAGTTTAGTAAAAATGTTAATTAAGTCTTGGACACGACTTACGTCGCAAAAATGTGGTCGACACTGGTTTTGTGGGTAGAGACCCGTGGGCCGTTTATTAAATGAGCGACAACAGATTATTTTAACAAAAATAAAACAAACCGAAAAGATAAACACAGTAATAATAATCTTCGCATAATATCGCGGCACTTTCGCTGGCGTCGACGACGCGATGTTCGGCGTGATCCTCGGGCGTCAAAATGTTAGCAGCGTTGATGGCGACGGTGCGCGGGTACGGATCGGTTCGTCAACATTGTCACTCTCACAACGGGAAGAAGACTCCCCTATCACATGCGGCGGATCGTCGTCGGCCGTGCGTCACTTGCTGGACTTTGAACCGTAGCGTATGACACGCGGTGTTGGTCAGTCAAATACTCACAGTAGGGCGACAGCTAATAAAGGTGGCACGAGTCGCGGGGCATCGTGTATAACGAAGCGACGCGGGCCGTGTCATCTTTTAAAGTCTAGTAAAATGCGTGGTGACAATAAATTTAAAAACTTTCGTGGCACGTTAATGGTACATAAGAATGTAAAAAATTATACACTCGTGAGAGTACCTTTATAATTGAACTGAAACAAATAAGTGTTACTACTTTTACTGATACGATATTACTACCTACACTTACCAAAAATAAAGAAATTTACATTATACTAGTTAATTTTTCAGATATTCAAAAAAAGATACCTGTAGAGTGTAGAGAAATTGTGTGTACTGTAACTAGTTTAAACGTAGAGTATTCTATTATTACTCACATTAAAAAACGTGACACGGCACTGCCCTATGCTCTAGGCTGGCGGTCATCCGTGTCTCTCTCGATATCAGCCGTCCAGCTATTAATATGACAATCGGTTGTCTCCCCGCCCTTGACACCGAGATAAGGCCACCGCCGAGTATGGATTACGGATATTGCGCTATGTTTCGTTTCCGACGTACACCTTAACTGGACACTCGCGATTTCGATATATTGTTTTTTTTTCCTCTGTGGCTCTCTTGGCATACTGTTTTTTTTTGTGATGTTGTCACAAACGTTGCTGCTATTTCTTTTGTTTTTAAGAAATGTATATATTTCTTATATACTTTTGTATTTCTATTCAAACACTGTGATTGTACCGTAATATACGGGCGGTCGCTATTGTCAATTTTATAGAACCGGTGTTATAACATTATTTCAGTGTTAATTATCTATTGTGTGCGTGGTGCTCACTTTGCCGTACCATTTGGATACGCGTTAAACGAAATGATTTATAGGACAAAGTGATTGAAAAGTGTTTTACTAATGTAATTGATCTTGTATGCTACAACTGACGTACTCTATCACATTTACTAACAAAACCTCTATTTTATCCTCTACTTCATCTTTCTTCAATAATTATTTCCATAACAGTTTATTTTTGTGTCTATTATCACTTTTTCTCAGCTTTCACCTAACCGATTTCTTTCAACGATACGTCAAAAGACTACGAATCGTATTTAGTCGAAGACATTACTATCAAAAATTGAAAAAATTTGCCTCGTTCCCCGTAAATGAGTTAAACATCCAAAAAAATTACAAATTTAAAAATAGCTAAATTTTTTCCATTTTTTTACTTATAACTGAAATAACTTTTTCAAAAATGAACATATCAATATAATTTTTTTTTTATAGATTCTTGATGTCTACTTATTATTTGGTAAATTTTTTTTATATATCTGACCCTTAACCTGCCCACAGGAAGGGATTTAAAATGACAACATTTTCTCAAAAAATTAACTTTTGAAAGTGTTCCGGAAAGTCTGACACTTTTATATATATCTTAAATTAAAGCAAATGTAATGTATTTTATTATAGAAAAAAAAAATTTCGGACTTTATTTTGTGTTCACGATGAAAATGGGTACCGAATGCTATTTTTGTGTGAAAATTATCTATTTTATTTTTTACATTTTTATCTTAATAATGCTATCATTTATTGAAAAGTGTATGGATCAATACAATTTTTTTATGAGAAATAATATTTATATCCCTTTTTCTTTCGACATACTTTATCTTCATCAGGATATTAATAAGGAAATAGCAGATCATGTAGCTTTTGGAATAATCCATCAATTTTTTAAAAAAAATTTTAAACACTATCTAAAGATTTGCATCGAAGCGTTTTTTTTGATAGTGATTTTAATCACTGTCAGATATCATTATACTTGATCCAACTATGCCACGTCACCACTTTGCCGCGACCCCCCTGTGCTGGGTTTTTTATTTTACATGATCATGTTATAATTTTGTAGATGTGCATTAGTACTACTTATTATTTAAGTTTTTAACTTTGACTCCCAACACTTTCTCCTCTCCTGTCATGAGACTCATCTCCCCGTGTGTGGTTATGATGACATGGTGACATCCATGGGGCTTTGTACACTGCTTTACCCAAACATTACAACATGACCAACTTACCATAACAAACGTTTCACGGATTTGAGACCCTCATGACAATATCCTTCCCATCACTCTTCCTTTTACTATGATTGTTTATGTATTTTTTTTCTATGGAATAATATTGATTGAAAATATATTTGAGGTACAGCTCCTAGTGTGACCCACCAAAGGCCATAATCTATATAATTTCATATCCTTATATTTATATATTAGTTCTATCCACGGTTCTTATAACTACTTTTCTTAAATAATATAGTCACTAAGTTGCTTGTCAACATATTATTACTTGTTGTTTGCTCTATTATTATAGACCCTTAATATTTACATTGACTTTTGTCAATCATTTATCTTTTTAGCAATACATTTAATTAATCCATATTTATTTTAGTTGGTTAGTTAATTTTGTTAGTTCAAATCCTTATCTGTTAAATTGTCTTTATTTAATCCTGATGTTAAACTATCATATAAAGTTTCTCTTCTCTCTTCCCCTTCATACTCCTTTTAAATTAAACTTTTTGATTAAATTTTGATTAATCCTTTTCTTTTACTAATCTTTTGTTGATTTGACTATTGTTTTGTCAATACTTTTAATCCATAATTTTGATTATCTAATTTAGTAAATTACTTAGTATATCTCCTTGTAATAATTTAACTGTAATTAATATACTTGTACTTTGAGTAGTCAAATTTTTTATTTTGCTGATTCTATTGTACCTTATGATATTTTCCTGTTAATGTTTATCAGTTTATTTCCTTCTCTTAAATTTTTCTGTGAATAATTTGGCTAAATTAAAAAATTTTAAATCACGCATTAACGTTGAACTATCGTGGAACAGTAATGACATTTAAGTGTCGTTACTCCCTGGTCTTATTGTTCTGATAAGCTGTTCGATCGAAACTTTTAGGGGCTATCATCTGCTCACCTCCTTTCGACCAGACTTGTGGTGTTTCGGTCATGTCCGCTATAACTCCTTTAAGTGTGTGGTTTAACGTTATGGTTTCCCTGTAGGTACTAACAGGTACCCCTTCCACAATACTAATATTCAAGTTGACTTGCGATATCAAAGTTTCCAGCGGGGCAATATGGTCGCACTTGAGGGACTCCTCAATTTTGACCAGGTACTCGTCGACGTACGAACATAATGTCGTGTACATGTACCGTGAGAAATTCCTAAATTGACTAATTGAGTATGGTCTGACCGCTATATTGATTGGCAAAGTTGCAAGTTTATAAATAAATTACAAGTAGTTCAATGGAATAATAACGCGCTGATTACGTGGCCTGTTAATTTGCCTAATATATAATTTTAGCACAAATCA